AACTTTGGTCTATTCTGTAGTGCCTTGGGCCCCAGGGGTCCTTTCCTTGCCTGCTACTCTGTTATTCTTGGTACCGTTAAATAAAATGTTTTTAAATAACTGAAAACTGTACTTGAATTTTAATTTGGCTCTTTGTGACATGCCCAAACCTTTTAGGGCTGTAAAATTCAGTTATTTTGCTATCAAACTTACAAAAAGAAAGGTACATGGAGGTGTCTGTCTCCTGATTTCAAATTTTTAAAACCATGATAAGACACTTGAGTATCCTTCCATTATTTCTCCTTTAAAAAAACATCACTGTCTCCAGCTTAACAACCGTGTGAGATTCCAAATTGTTATTCCTGTTTTACGGATAAGGAAGCTAAGGTTGAGGAAAATTTAGTGACTTCTCTTCATTTGTACCGCTGGCAAATGCCAGAGTCAAGATTTATTAGAACTTTGGTAGGCTGGACTCTGAAGTCCTATAACCTGCCCTCTATAGGGAGAAAGGGAGGGATGGGAGGGCTTCCTTTTCCTTACCTTTACTTGGAAGTCTCCATTGAAATTTTTTATTTATCACACTGCTATACAAAACTATGTCTATGCTAATGGAATCACCCCAACCCCTACCTCCTTTCACTGAAGCAGCCCTTAAGCTAAGAGATTGTTTGAATCTTGTTATTCAGAAGATACATTTCAGGCTAGCTAAAATGTGAGCTCTGAATTGAAATGGTTTTCTGCCCTGTGCCTAATGTTTTTTTGTACCATCCTTTTATGTACCTTAGCACCAAAGCAGAAGTTCCATTCCAAATTAAAATATAAGCTTACCTTTTAATAAAAAATTTGCCCTATTCCATTGCTAAATTATCCTAATATCCCTTGTCTTCCTTCACATCCTGTATTTTTACTGGGTCGCCTTGTGGTTTGAAATTGGAGAGAGACAGACTTGAATGTTACTTTTCTATGTCTCTAGAAATCAGATGGGTGAGTTTTAAAGTGTATGTGTATTTTACGGGGTGGGGGGGGCGATATGAGTGATATGAGGGGGGGGGGGGGGGGGGTATTAGGAGAGCATATTCTTGATGGCCGTTAGGATCCTAACTCTTGTGGGACTTTTTGGTGCTTTTTAGTGTTTGTTCAGAAGATAGTCCCAAGAAGCCATTATCTTTGTGTATGTATTAAAGTAACTGGGCTTCTTTGAATCACAAAACCTGAAATTTTCTTCATTAATTGCATGATTTCACTGATTTCTTTTTTAATTGACTTTCCATGGAACTTAAAAATATCTATCACTGCAAGTCCTTACCAAGCTATTGGGAATCTAATGGGGGAGAAATAATACTAGAAGAGGTATATACAGGACTTTAATAGAACTTTATTCTAGGTCTCTATGACAATAGTGTTATTCCCTGGTGGCCTCCTTTTAGGTAATTGTATGCTTTGGTTAGTGGCGGTGAGTAAAAAAAAGTCAGTTATGTCTTAGAAGATGCCTGTTTTCAGTTGAGCGAAGTGTTGCTGAGATCTGTGTTTTGAGTTTGATTCCTTTTTAACTGATGAATTTATTCAGTTTTAGAGCCTCAAATAGGACCAAAATATCCCAACTAGCTCTATCCCCACTAGGAAAACCTCAAAGTGTGCCATCTTGGTGACAGGTTATCAGTTAGATTTTTGCATGTGAAAGCTGATATTTTTTCCTCTTTTTCTTTTCTCAGTAACTATCTCCCCTTGGGAGATTCAATGCTGGGAAATATTTGTACCTTTCTGCAAGTACACCAGATACACTTGTATGTTGGAGTAGCATGTATTTACCTGGCATGGGTCTGAGTTGGCAGCTTGCCTCAATGTGCAATTTCCACCATATGTAGGAAGTTTAAAAACTTTTTAAAATGTATAATGGGAAAAGCAAGGTCATGTCAGTGGTTGAAATTGGTTATCTCTAGCCCTGGTTTTGTAATATTCCAGACTGTTTCTTTCTAAAACGGTGTCAAGAAATCCTAAAAATGTCAAAGAAACAATTTATAATAGATACTGTATTATCTCTGACAATAGGGGTGGAGTGAGAAAGCTTACAGAACTGAAACCAAGAAATAATTTGGCATTTCTGCTGTTCAAGGTGCTTTTTGGGTCGGGGGGGGGGGGGGGGGGGGGGAGAGGGTGGTAAAGGTTCCAGGAGGGGATTTTCTGGTGTAGCTTTGGGACCCAAACCAAATTGATTCTGCTAAGCTAGTATCTTTCCAGAACCACTTCTATTTGAATGGCTCTTCCTTGTACAACCAGGGCCTTGATGGGAATATGAACTGAGCTGCTTTCCAGCCAAATGCCTGAGGACTAAAGCATGTGCATCAGCAGAACGATCTGAGTCTCTTGGGTTTGGGGAACTGGCCCAGGAGGCTATTCAGAGACAGCTGAGGGTTGGAGATGACTGACGCAAAAACTCCACATCTTCTCTACACTCACTGTCCCCCTTCCCTCCTAACCAACAAAAACAAATTCCAACCTTCCCCACATACATTGTGCTGTAGAGTATTATTTTTGAGACTGAGGCTATTCTGACAAAACAGTGAAATTTCTGCATCTGACCACAGGGGGCATAGGCTGCTGATAGGGCTAAGGACTGAAATGGACCAAAGATTAGATCCTAGCTTGGCTGTAAAAAATAAGTTTATTTCAAGAGCCAGTTTATCCACTATCCTAGAATATGAGTTAATTTTTAACAACCTAGTATAACTTGTAATGACACCAAAGATTCAGGGGGAAGGAACTATGTTATTCTTCCTAAACAAATACACTCTCCTTCTTTAAAGCAGAGTTGATGATCAGCTTGTAAGTTTCTAAGTGACTTAAATATAGGATATTAAATTCCCACCAATTCCCCATTTTCCAGAAGCTGTATTCATTGGACAGGAAAATGGAAGAAGATGTGAAATATAAATTAGCTTCTCCAATCCTGGAGGTGCTCTCTTCTCATCATCCCGGTAATTCATGTTTGTTTATAAAGAATGTCTGTTATAAGTGGCTTAAGGTAGTGGTCTTGCTTAAAGGCAGGTGCGTAATGAAATTACTTCTTTTGCCTTGGACCCCCGCTCCCAAGCATTCTTAAGTTCCTTACAACTTTTAGACTCTTCGTAAGTAAGGAATAAGAGCTCGTTTTCATAGTCTTCATGAGAGACTTCAGGAAAACAGTTTACCCTTGGTTAAAAATTGCCCCGTATCTTAAGTGTTATGTTTGAAGAGCTCTAGGGATTTTCACGTTCTGTTTGCTCTTAACTAAATCTAACTCTTCACTGTACCTTGTTTCCACTACCTCTCCTTTCTGGGTAGCATTAATATTTTACCCTTTAAATCTTCACTACAAATGAAATAATTCCTTGAACATTCACCGATGTTTTTAATTTACTGATGGGACAGCCACATTTAGAATCTAGTTTTCAGGAATTCATTCGGCAAATGTGAAATGCCTACCACGTACACAAGGAATTGGGTCACCTTTCTCCTGACCAGGAGAATCCAGTTAAACCCAGCCTGAACAGCAGCTTCAAAGCTCTCCTTAGTCTCTAGTACAGGGCTTCTTAACCTGTATACTGTAAACATGTTTTTTAAAACAGATATTTTCTAGCTACTTATTCAGTTTCCCTTTTATGTGTTTAAAAACAAGTTTTCTGGGGAACAAAAGTTCAGAAGCTTTACTCTACTGCCAGAAGGGTCCATACCCCTGCCCTAGTACTATGCACTGGCTCCTTAAGTGTCAGTGGAGGAAGAAAAAGAATTCAGCCAAGACAAGCCGTTTTGCCTTCATGTTTCGGGTTAGAGAAACTAGGTCTGTGTGCTTTCTGGAAAAGAGGTTGTGGGATCTAGGTTGTGTGCCAGGGGACATACCGTATCGAAGTCCCTTCGGTTGGCTATGCAGCACAAACTGAAGGTAGTATCATCTCTGTGAAGTCAAATAGGAATCGTTTTTCAGAAAGCCTGATGTGAAATGTCAGTGTTGGTTGATTAGAGAAATATATAGTTTCTCTCTTGGGACAAAGCTTGTTTGGGTCTTCCTCTTAGAATGTCATGTAATAGTCATTCAGAGGTGATTTCCTTCAAACCAATACCGGTTTACTTGACTTTCCTCCCATGGGAGGATGGATGGGTATCTTCCAGTCCAGAAAGGGAATGGCAGTGAGGCAGAGAACCACCTCTGTGTTCTGAGGAATGTTTCCTATCTGAGCCAAGGAATACTTCATATTCATAGTGATTCACCAGTGTCTCATGCTTGTATTTCAGAATGCTTTATTCATAACAACCTTGTAGATACATAGATATCATTGCCCCCATTTGAGTCTGTGAAATGTTAGGCTATTTACTTAACTGTGGTCACACAGCTAGTCAGGTGTCTGAAAGCAGGATGTAAACCCAGAGTTCTGGACGCCTCCATTTTTGACTTTTTCCATTAATGATCAGGCAGAAGTATGGGAGAATTTTAATTAGAGGTGACAATTGCTGCCATAAGATCCTACCTGGAAAGGCGCTTGGAGCCCATTGAGTCCAGTTCTCTTGTTTTACATGTGAAGAAATTGAGGCCCTGAGGAAAACCCCTCATTGTCACATAGAAAATAAGTGCCAGGCTCAGTTTTCAGACCCAGTGATGGTTCTGTTGTGACCCGCTGCCTCCAGTGTGCCCACATCAGGGAGCTGGTTTTCAAACCATTTGTTGTTTTCCCTGGCAGCCAGCTCCAACACATTAACGGGGTTAAGGCCTGGGGAGGCTTTGCTTCCCATGGAAGGGAAAGCACTGAAGAGTTTGGGCTGACATGCGACGTGCCTCGTGGGCGGAGAGGTTGTTGCTGATGATGAAAATTATTAACGCTTCTCCTTTTTAAGTGTATTTCACACGTGCACTTCAGATTATCTGTTCTGCAGGAGTGATTTGCCAAAATGTTCATTGTGCCGAACTTAAAACTAAAATGAAAATAAAGGGCAAAGTGGGGAGGAGGTGAAGGGCATTCATTCTGAGCTCCTTAACTCTAGTCACTTAGCTATACACAGAATGGGATTTTGCACATGTTGGACAGAAATAAGAGAATCAAGCCCCGGCCAGAAAGATTCCAGAACTGTAAAGATTTGTTTGACCTCATCCTTACCTGTGAAGAGAGAGTCTATGACCAGGTAGTAGAAGGTAAGAATATTAATTAACATATGCTTCACAAATCATTTATTTGACATATGTTCTTGGTGAGAAGCAAAGTCAGTTCCTCGGTAGAGCCCAAGAAAGAAGAATATTCAGCAATCCCAGCAAAAGGGAAAAAATAAAAGACAGTGAGCTCATTGGTTCCTTTGACTGTTTGAAAGACTTTAAGACCAATGTGTTTTATTTATTCTCTGCTCTACTTTCCCACATAGAGTCAGTTTGCTGCATTTTCTGTGTTGCTACAAGCTAACTACCAGTCATAGCAAGGAAAGATGCTCTTGGTTCCGGAGAGGCAGCTTTGAGATCCCCTGGTGGTTTGTCTGCCTCTATCCTAAGTTCTGATGATGAGATTCCACCCTTCCTGATGCTCAGTGCTGTGAGCCCATGGGTGGTTGTGCTACAGGAAGAGAAAGAATGACAAAGGGGGGGCCAAGTCATCCAAAACAGAGCTCTGGTCTTGTGTGAAATCCACATGATGTAATCCTTTCTTCCTCTTCTCAGCCTAAGCCTTTGTGCCCTCATTACCAGATAAAAGTTAGTCAGAAACTGAAATGAAGAAGTGTAGGGTTAGGAAGGGGAACGGGGGAGGGGAGAAAAGCCAAGGGCCTGAATAACTGAGTGTCTGAGACTCATTGACTGCTGAAGCTGGGAGGGAAGGACCTTGGAGATTACCTGGACCCACCAGCCCGTTTTATAGGTATAGGAATTTAATCGGTTTTCTTTGATACCACAAGACTCTGCATTTATTTGGCCCACTTCTCATTGAACCCAGATGAATTGTTTGGGAATTTAACAACCCTGTTCATATGAGCTCACTTCCTCCCAGAGAATACAAAAATGGCTGTGTCTAAATTGGGGCTGAGCACAGTCTTAACCCATCAGGAGTGTTCTTTATGTTATTTTTAAAAAAAACACAACTTCTGGTTGTGGTTTTTAAGGGGATGGGCCCTGAGTGGTATGGATGGATGGTGTGAGTTGAATCGTCTTTAGAAACTTAGCAAGTGAGCAGTGAAATTTTATATTTGAGAGATAAAACCCCTCTTCCAACCTGTACTGTGGTGCACTGGTATCTCAGTTGCATATGTAAAGCATGGTATCTGACAGAGGCTTGTGCTCATGATTTTTGAGGAAGCACATGGAGTTTCCTGAGTTCTCCCCACTCCTTGGTATGTCCTGAACTCTGGAGGCCATGTCTAATTGCAGGATCCCCTTTTAGGGAAAGGGTGATTATTGGGCATGGTCTGAGCCAAGGACATGAGGACTCAGGAAGCAGAGTTTGTCTGCTAAGAGAGAACAGTTCCCTGTGAAAGCTGGCTTGGGGATAGTAGGACTCCCCCCATAGGGCACGAGGACCCGATGCAGAGAGCAGGCCGCCGAGGACAAGAGTGCCGGCTGACTTGATGCCAGTGGGAAGCTGATCTCCTCTTTGTCCTTGGGGAATCTGCACTGCTCCAGCCTTTCCTGTTTTCTTGGACGTCTTTAGTGTTCTAACACTTTTGTGTCATTGTGTTCCCAATTAGATTTAAATTCCAGAGAGCAGGAGACCTGCCAGCCAGTGCATGTGATTAATGTGGACATTCAGGACAACCACGAAGAAGCCACCCTAGGAGCCTTTCTCATTTGTGAGCTCTGTCAGTGTGTAAGTGTCCTTGGAGCCTTGATTTCTGGGACTTGCATTTCCCAAAGCCCTCTTCCCATTCCCATTTTCCAAGTGGTTCATTTATCTTGGGCGGGCCTATATTGAGGACCCCACTGGGTGCAGAATGACTTTAGGATATGACCTCAAGCAGGACAAGACACGTGTGGCAAATGCTTGTCACCTGACAGGTTAGAGGACATTTTATACTTTTTAATAAAACCGTTTCCTGTCCATATTTATTTTAGAGGCTCATTGGTATAGTACCCAGTTCTTGTAATGAACAAACCATAAGAGTATTAGAAATAAAATCCACACCTGCACATTAATGCTTCACACATCTAGTCTCTGGGACTGTACTTGGAGTAGAGGTTGAGACCAATTATTCAGTCATTAATAGATCTTCGTGTTTTTTCCTGGAAAACCAGGAAATTGTTCCTTCCTGTACAAATGTTTGCCCAAGAAGATGAAGAGACCAGATCAGTGTATCATGTGAACAAATCATTACATCATACAGTGTTCAGATTTAAGAATTTGCTTTTTGTGGTTGAGCTTTAATAATGAGCTGATACCCAGAAGTACAATTCACTTATTGTTTTACTTTTCATTTTTGTCCTTACCTGTGATTTCACTGGCACAGGGAACTCCTAGGATGGAAAATTCCTTCACTAATTCAGATGGACAACTTGTTTCTTATAGTCTGAAGGAGTTGCTTTGGGGCCACTTGGGGTTAAGTGACTTGCCCAGGGTCACAGAGCTGTCTGAAGTGTTAGGGGCAGGACTTGAAGGCGGGTCATTTCTACATCCAAGGCCAGCCATTATGTCATGCTGTCACCCTTCCAGGGAACCTCTCTCAGTTTCTGACTTTGTCTGAGAAATCTGGTCTCACAAGGCACCTGTCTCTCCACTAAGGGTTTACCTGAACTAAAGCAAGTTCCCTGTCAATGCAGGAACAATGGAAGCTTTGTCTTTTTTTGCCACATTTATCCTCAGCTCTCTAAACTCTTTGGGATCATGAAGCAGTAGAAATGATGTTTTCTGCCTGTCCTAGCTATGTCTTTTCCCCTGAGTAGTTGAAGATGCTGCTATTTTAAAAAGGCACTTTTGTTCTTTTCTGCTGTGTTTCTGGATCAAGTATTTCTCGCCCACACACTTGGGTTGAATGTTAAAGCAGTGTGGGCCTTCCTAGTACTGGTCATCTCCATGGAACCAGATTCTTCAAGAGACATTGGAGGTTTCTGATAGGGTTCAGACATTTGTCTTAAAAGAGGTTATCACAGAATTGTCCATTTTTCTAGAGTGACATGAGCCAATTTGGGCCATGGCAGGTGTTCATCTTCATACTATTTGTGGTACTTTGTTCCAAAGACTTAAAACCTCTGGTTGGATTCTGTTTGTTGTTGTACAGAAGATCCTAGAAAGCAAAGCTGCAGTATCGAAAGTCTTGAAAGAGGACAGGATGAGGAAGGAGATAGTCATTTCCTTGATCTTTTGCATATGTGTTAAGCCCTATCAAGTTGATGCTTTGCAGGAACTCTTGCATAATCAGTCTTTGATAGGTTGATGGAGGAGTTGGCTTAGTATCCTTCAGGACCTGGTTGCTGCTCATGGCTTCCAGCTTGGACCTCTCTGCATGGCCCTGAATGCTAGAAATGGCAAAGCCCTCATCCTCTCCATGTGCGGAGGGTCCTGCAGCTGCTGCCCTGCTGATTTTGAATCAGACTTTCAGTGTCTTGGCTGAACAGTGGTCAGGAAATGACGTCCGTTTAATATTTGGAGACGGTAGATGACGCCATTGAGCCGGTTGGTTTTGCTTCTGATGGAGGATTGTGTCACTTCCTATCAGATAGAAGTATAGCTTTCAAGGGCTTTTCCAGCTCCGAGAGGAGCTCTGCACCAACACTACAGGGTCTGTGGTCTACTTCACACCTGTCTCTTTCCCCAGTGGAAAGGGAATCCCGAGGAGTTAGCTCCCTGCCCTGCTTGTGTCTGCATCATTGGAATGCTTAGGAGCTTCCCCCTATGCATTTAGGAGAAGAGGGATCCAAGTGCATGACAAAAAACTTGATTCGTTCCTTGTCAACCTCCAGATGGGCGGCTTGAGGCATTTGACGCTGTTAAGTAGTCCAGGATGGCTCAGGGCCCGAGGGAGGATGACCAGACTCTGCTCCCAACCTCCAGATCTCTTCCTCTTGCTTCAAGGCCTGAAATCGATCCTAAGACTGCCTGCCTGCCCCCTGTCTCCAGCTTCTCTCTAAAGATGGCATGTGTGCCTTTTTCTTTCTTCTTTCCTTTAGATACAACACACAGAAGACATGGAGAATGAGATTGATGAGCTATTACAGGAATTTGAGGAGAAAAGCAGCAGGACTTTCCTCCACACAGTCTGCTTTTACTGACGCCCGCCTTGGCTTCCCAGGCGTTGGAGCTGAACGAAGCATGTGGGTCAAGTTTTATGACTATTCCCTACTCTCCCTGAAGACCACTTTCGAATCTTCCTTTGTTAATACTTTTTTTCTTCATGGTGTTTGTTTTTACTTTCAGGTATTCTGCCAGAAGGAGGCAGTATTACCCAAATAAATTGTACATATAAAATGAGAAGAGAGAGACACATAAAAGGCCATATGAAAAAAATCAGGTTTTTTTTTCCTGTCCCACTTTTCCTTATTATAAGTGGGATACTAATTATAATGAGGATATTTTTCTTTAAATGGAAAAAAAGGTTTATATTGTATCCCCCCCTCCCCCAGCTTATTCATTTCTTTAGTTGTGCATTTTTCTTTACTGTAATTGGCTGGAGTATACAAAGACCTGAATGAAACAATGGAGTGTATATTACTAGGTATGAACTTGGCTCTGTCCTCTGCCTTCAGAACGAAAGGGTTAATTGCTCCCTTTTTCTGAACCTGGATCCAGTCATGTTGCACTAAGGGGAGGATGTTGATGGAAAGCCTGGATTCAGGATCAGTTCTGAAAAAGGAAACTTGACAGTGAGTAGGGGCACAGAAGCAGAACCACCATGCTCACTGGCCCTGGGCCCACAAGACATCCCCAGGGACCCTGGCCCTCCTCAGGATGCCTGCCTCTTCTCTCAGAAATGTGGCTGATGTTGCTGTTGAACAAATCTGATCTTGGTTTGCTAGAAGTTCAGCACAGACTCCGAGCAAACCTTACTGTGGTTGGTTTGGTTTTGTTTTCTTTTTAGGTTAAAAAAAAAAAAAGTTACAAGTTCCCAGAAGGGTTCCTTATTTTCTGACTCTAAGAGAATCTTTCCAGCAGGAGGAGCCAGCTTAGATTCAGGTGGGGGCCTGTTCCACGAAAGCTGCCTCAGCACCTTGGAGAGCTCCAGTTGTGCTTGGGTTGGAGGGGCACAGATGGGCATCTCTATTCACTTAGTTCTGGCTGCAGGTCTCTTCACCTTTTTTGTATATAACCTGTTTGCTGCTTGGAGCGACAAAGAAGCTCCCTTCATGCTGGATGACAGAGTAGGATAATTTACTGAAACCACACAGGTCAGGAAGATGGCCTTGATTCAAAAGCCTTGGTGCTCTACCCAGTCTGGTCTGGTCCATGGTGGGCTCTGCCTCCCTAATTCTTCCGAGGCCTGCAGAAGAGAATGTGAGAAGCAGTTTGCTGAAGAGCCCTGTAAGAAAGGGGATGGATGGCCTCCCCCTCCCAGAGGTCGAGATTGGGGCCTCTCTAGAACACCTTGTCTTCCTTAATAATCCTTGCTGGATCTGTCCAACAGAAGCTCACCTTTTTCTGTCTCTAGTGTCAGCCTGTTTACCTCTTCAGGTAATAAATTCCTGACTTAATAAATTAAATAAATAATAAGCTTGTCCCTTTTTCATTTAAGCGCTCTCAAGCCAGAGGGAATAATTTTACCCTGTCTTGCATTTTGAGCATTTTTAGGATTTGGAGTAAGAGAATTTTCTTTGTTCTTGGTTCGAGTCCAAAGTGAGATGCCAGTGCAGACCCCTTTGATGATGGGCAGCTGATGCTAACCTTGCCTGCTGGGGGTGGCTTCTCTAGTCTGCTGCCCTGGCTATTCCCTTGGAAAGTGGTCTTCAGAACCAGACCCCAGCCTTGGCTGCCAACACACAGCCCAGGTTCCCCAAATGCTTTTGTCTCAGCTCCAGGATTGGCCCTAGAAGGACAGGGCAGGTGGGCTCCACAGATCTTCATTCTGATGGCATTTCCCTCCCCTTCTCTCTGCCCGTACAGCGTCTCCAAGCTCTTCTCCCAGTGGGTGGCATTTTCATTTCCTGCCCCTGCACCCTCTCCTCCCGCTGACTTCACTCAGTTTGAATACTACCACTGTGAACCATTCCCCTTTTACTGACCCTGAGTTTCCTTATGTATGAAATGGGCTGAATCCTACGTAGGGCACCTGGCTTCCCGGGCTGGTAGTGGGAAGAGTGCTTTGTGAAGCTCTAATGCACCATGTCAATCTGGTATATACCCTCAGTCGCCTTCCCTGCCCTGCGGCTTGGCTGCTCATGTCTTCCATCACCTTTCCAAGGATTCCTTTTCTTCACCCCCAAGCATTTTTTTTTTTTTACTCGTTGTTTTGAGCACAGTCCGGATCTTCACCTAGCGCCTTTGAGGGCTGGGACTCCGAGGACTTTGCTGTCAACACTAGGAAAGGCTGGGGTGTGTTTGGGATGCATCAGATGAGAAAGCGGTGGTTTCTCAGCCCAATTGCTGTTGGCCCCGACTGAAACTGGGAAGAAATAATGGCTTTGGTGGGCCCCCGAGGTTTGAGGTTCTGAGACGTTCCAAAGTAGAAGGCAGGTTGGATTTGGAGACAGATTTACAGTCCAGGCTGTCACTACCTGCTTAAGGTTGGACGGGTCACTTCCCTTTTCGGGACATCTGTAAAATGAGAACTAGGCGACTGGACTGTCTAGCCCAGAATCTGATTACCCGAGAGCCAATATGACCAAAGAACAACGCTGGTGAACGCTGGGTCTGGAAGGAGGGGGAAGTGATCGATTCCTGCTGGAAATCCTTTCCCCTCCCGCCCCGTTAAAAGAGCTCCTTTCCCCCCAGCACGAAGTCCTACTTCCGACGACTCCTTTTCAGAGCTCCAGCCATATGGCGGGGTGGGGGGTGGGGGTGCGCAGGAGGGAGGGGTTTGCTGGGCCCCTTTACAAACGTGTTCAAAGTCCTGAATGGCCCAGTTAAATTATCTGGATTGTGGGGCGGAGGCCTGTAGCTATGGGGAAGGTCACAGCGCAGGCAAAGTGCTGGGGGCATAACACCGCCCTTCTCCCCCAAGATGTTACTTGGGACCAAGAAACCAGGTCACTGTGTCCCTCCTTGGCAAAGGACAGACAGCGGGTGTTCCCCTCCTGCTCCGTAAGAAACCTGCCCCTTCTCCAGGGGCTGGAAGTTAACCTGGTTCAGTGCTGTGACCCTCCCGATGGCCGGCTGCCTTCTGATCTTACCGAGGAGTCATCGCCGGGCAGGAGGGAACACCACGGGTCAGACTGCAGGATTCAGCTTCACCCCATCTCCCACATCCCTGCGGCAGCAACCAAACCCGGGAGGGGGGAGCCGGGTAGCGGTGGGAAGTGTCGGACCAGAGAAGATGGTAGCGGGGACTGCGAGCTCGCCGCACCGGGGCCGGCCCGGACTGTGCGGGAGCAGAGAGGGGGTCCTGCGGCCTGCCGGCCCACCGCCTCGCCTCTGGCTTCCCTTCGCGGGCCTCTTCTCTCTGGGCTGACTCGTAGTCGGGCTCCAGAGGAATCCCCCCTACTCCTCAATAGCTTCCGGCTTAAGCCCAGGCTGCTTCGCTCCCGGCCCGCCCCAGGTCCCCGGGGCGTTGCGCGGGCGCGGACGCCTCACTTGGCGCACTCTGCCTGCTCCCTTTACCGGCCGGAGCCGGGACTTGGGGGAGAGGGGGCAGCTAGGAAGGAGGGGGCGGGGCGCAGCGGGGGCTGCGGGCCGGGGCCCGGGCTGGGGGGAGAGGCCCTGAACAGCTCGCGGGCCGGGAGGCGGGCGCCCCCTCCCCGAAGCCCGGCCCCCCTCCCCCCGGCTCCCCCCTCGCCCCCGGGCGGCGGGATTGCGGCGCGGGCCGGGCTGGAGAGGGAGACACACACACACGCACACGGGCACACACACTCACACTCACACTCGCGCGCGCACACACACACACACACACACACACACACAGAGGCACACACTCACCCTGTCACACTCACTCACACTGCCGGCGCCACGGCCGCGGACGACGCAGAGGCACCGCGAGGGCGTCCGCGGCGGCGGCGGCGGCGGCGGCGGCGGCTCTGACCTCTGCGGGGCTCCCCCCGCCGCGGCGTGGGGGCGGGGGAGGGGGTGGGCGCGGGGGGCTTCGGCCCGGGCCGGCCCTGCGGGCTGCCCATGAGCGCAAACACGATGATCTTCATGATTCTGGGGGCGTCGGTAGTGATGGTGAGCGCGCGGGGGGGGGGGGGCGGGGAGGAAGCGGGGCGCGGGGGGGAGGTGGGTGGAGGGCCCGGGGATGGCTGCCCCCGCAGGCGGCCGGGAGCCCCTGTCCTCTGTCCCTGCGTGTCCCCTGCTGGCTGCCTGGCTGCCTGGCTCTGCGCCTGCGAGCGCCCGGGCCCTGTGGCCGGCCCGCCGTGCCTGGCGCGCTCCCCGCTCTCCCTGCGTGTCCCTTCTCTGCTTTCCTGCCTGCCTGCCTGCCTGCCCGCCCGCCTGCCTGCCTCGGGGTGTGTGTGTGTGTGTGTGTGTGTGTGTGTGTATGTGCGTGCGTATGCGTGTGCTTCTGTGTGTGTGCCCGTGTGTGTGTGCCCTGTGCCGTGTGTGCGCGCGCGCCGGGCCCTGGCCCTGGCTGTCTCTCCAGGTGTCTCTCTCTCTCTCTCTTCCTGGGTCTCTGGGTGCCTCTGGTTCTGCGCACGGCCCGTGTCCGTGGCCGCCCCTTGGCGGGTCTGGGGGCCGGGCCTGGCTCCCGGCTCTGGGAACCGCGGTCCCTCGTCCCCGGGAGGAAGGGAGAGAGGGAGAGAGGCCGGGAGGCTGAGGCCGAGGGCGTCGGGGAAGCTGACGGGCCAGGCCGGCGGGGGGCGGGGGGCTCGGGGCTCTTTCAGGCCATCGCCTGCTTGATGGACATGAACGCGCTGCTGGACAGATTCCACAATTACATCCTCCCGCACCTGCGGGGCGAGGACCGCGTCTGTCATTGCAACTGTGGGAGGTAAGTCCCCGCAGGGGCTGCTCGGGCGTCCCTCCCTGCCTTCTGCCCTTTGTCCCCGCCCGCTAGCCTCCTGCTCTCTACCCCGACAGGAGAGAAGAATTAAAGGCCCGAGGCTCGGACCCAGGCAGGGTTCCGGGGCAGTCCAGACACACAACACACGCAGGGCCCCAGGGCCACTCAGCACATGCACAATACAGACACATGGACAGACATAAACATGTAGACATGCACCGACAGTCACTGACACAGTACACGACCAGAAACACACCTCAACGAAAGACGTGTTTTCAGAAACACACAGTGGCACAGACCCTTAGGGCAAAACACCGGTGGGCAGAGATGCCAGGGCCAGGTGGTCTGGGCTCCCGAGCTTCTGTGTCAGCAGGCAGGCTGAGACTAGTTCTGTGGGTGAGTGTGGGAGCCGACAAAGAAAGGGGGCTTCCTTCAGCCTATATCACTATTCAGGGTCAAGGTAGGGTAAGAAACTAGGGGCGAATCTGCTTGTCCAGGGCTAAAGAGTATGGTCTGAGTACTTAAGGGGAGGGGGAGGGAGATGAGCCTGCAGGAGGAAAAGTGACCAGGACCCTGGGAGAATCCCCAGAGAATTTACCTAGTTGGAAGAGGGTAGACACTCCCCCCAATAGTTCTTTAAAACTAAAATATAGTTGGCCCTATAAAGGGTCAGGAAGTAACCCTCTTGATCCTGGTCCCTTATTACCCACCACAGTATCAGAGGATCATTCTATCCAAGGCAGGAAAGCTGTTTCCTGGCTTTCATTGGGCTATTAAGACTCAATACCTTCTTTTGAAGTTTGCCTGAGGGTCTGTAGAGGGCCAGGGACTAACTCGGGCCCCCCAGCACTGCCCTGGGTGGCCAGAACATTTGCTCTGATATGTATTCAAGAAGCACCTTGGAGACCCTTGGGCTGAAGCAGGGGCCAGGCCAGACTGGCATAGAGGACCCCTGGGGCAGAGAGGCTTCATATGCTGGGGACTAGGGCTCGAGGGCAGAAGGATCCAGAGCATGGACAAGGCTATTAGGTATTAGTTATTGATGGTTACTAATATTGGTTCTTGACAAATAGTCACAATAAATCGCTTCTTGGTTATTAGCTATGAATTATGTTTTATGGAATCACTGGTCAGTTACGATTTACTTTGGTTGTCAGTTACTGACAATTGGGGATTGGTTGACAGTTGTTTATTGTTATTGACCTGGTGACTTATGTTCTCATGGGGTCACTGAGTCACTGGAAAGTGACTCTGCCCTGTGCCCCTGGCAGCACCAACTTAGGTCTGCTGGTCTTGTAAGGTTGGGTTAGGGGTGGCCAGGTGGCCAGGCTAGCAAGGAGGTGGTACCGATAATCCATCCAGTTTAGGCCTTTGGCCATTGTCAACTGTCCTTGGGCACTGTGCCCTTTCTGGGCCTCAGTTTCTGCATCTGTAAAATAAGAGGGTTGGACCTGAATGACTGCTGAGGCCCCAGTTCTACACTGGTGATCCTATGATGCTATGGTCACCAAGTGATGACTATGCCTTATGGGGAGACAGAGAGACTAGTGATTCAGCTCCTGTCCTCAGGGAGCTTACAGTCTGGATGGGGACATAAGACTTGGTTACTTGTAAGGTGCTTTGTCCCCTTAGCACCTCCACTTATTCCTGAGACATCAGGGCAGTTTCATGGAAGACGGTGAACTGTAACTAGCCTTTGAAGGAGGCACAGGATTCAGCCAAGTGGAGAGAAGGAGGCGGGCATTCCACGGGCAATGGGTTGAGTGAGGGTGGAGGATGTTTTGAGGGCCCTTGGGGATCTTAGTCCACTAGATGGCTGGCAGCCGAGGGAGATGAGGCTGGAAGGGGTGTGCCAGATTGTGGTACTAGATTCTGGAAGGTCTTCCTTGAATGGCAGCTCGAGAGGTTCGTCATCTCTCCTATTTTTTGAGCAGAGTAACATGGTGAGAACTGGATATTAGGAAGCTGACTGATGGCATGTTAAGGATGGAGTAGAGAAGAGAGCTACTAGCAGGAGGGAGTCTAATTAGCAGGCTGGACTGGAGGTGATGAGGGCCTGGCCCAGGGTGGGAACTTTTGGGAGGGAGGCAAAGAAAGATGGCTAGGAATTATGGCCCGGTTTGGTACAAATGCCAAATGTGTCATGGCCTATAGATTTCAAGCCTGAGGCACCAGGAGAGTGGAGGGCCTATTGCCACTTCATCTCGACTCAGATATGTTGGTGGGAGACAGCAGTCCGGGCCTGAACTCCTCACTCCCTTTAGCGAAAGGCCCTGTGGCAAACTCCCTCTTGGGCGTATGTTTTGTCCATGCTCTGGGACAAAAAGCAGAATCAATGTTCATGGGAGGATAGCCCACCCTCCCTTCTATTTGGTTGTCTGCTTTCTTTCAGTGAGGATCAGACTAAGCGTGCTGCGTGGGCATGGTCATACAAACTTATGCATACCTATGCACGTCATGCATCCTAGCCTCCAGCATCTGTGACTTTGGCCCCTGGCTGGGTAGGCAGTTAGTATCAGCTCCTGTGACAGAAAACAATGGGATATGCCACTTACCTCCCCAGAGACAAACAGGCAAGGTCAGGCCTCCCTATATGGAATAGGGGAAGGGCTGGGCTGGGTGCTAGGAGTGACCTCCAGGGTAGAGGCTATGAGCCATCTGCTTCTCCACTCTCATCCCTCTTGGCTCAGCCCCAATCCTATCCTTCCTTCTTCCTATTTGCTATTAAAAAAAAACAAAAACAAAAACAAAAACAAAAAACAACCCGCCTTTACATTTCCTAGTAAGACCCAATTCTTTACTTTCTCCCTATCACAGTCATGCCTAGGGGGCACATTGGTGTTTTCTGTTAGGTTTCATCAAAAGTTCCTCTCATTTTCTTACTCATTGGACGAAAGTTAATTCACATCCGTTGGGGATTCAGCTGTATCAACTGATCCCCATTCAGCGATGGGGATCAAGGAGATGTCTAATCCTGCAGGGTGTTCATGATCTCATTTGAAAGTTGACTCCCCCCATAGGAAGGGATCTCTGGGGAGGCAGTGGAGGGATGTGGGTTGAATGACCATACAGCTGGCTTGAATAACCTAATCCAAAGGATGCTGGTTAATGGCTCAGATCTCAGTCTAGGGTGGGTGGGGGTTGGGGGTTGGCCTTCTGGTTGCAGCTGGGAGGGGAGATTTGTGGAGGGGTCTGGCCTTGGCTCTATTCAATGTTCGGAATAAAGGTGGAGATTTTCAAATGGTACGAAGTTGGGAATGGTGTAGTAGACAGTGCTGGATTTGGAGTCAAAGGACCTGATTTCAATTTTCTGGCTTTGTGACTTCATATATGCAACTTTGAATGAGTCATATGACCTCAAGGGGTCTCAGTTTCTTCATCTGTGAAATGAGCACGTTGAACTAGATCCCCTCTAAGGTGATTTCTTCCATCTTGAGATCTCAGGTGCTGAGTCCAAAAGTTCTCGACAGGTTGAGATGGAGAAAGAGTTGTATTCTAAGAAGATAGAATTCCCTAGGGATAAATGTAAAGTCATATGCTTGGATTCAAACAATCAACTTCACAGGTATAAGCTGAGGCAAGGTGAAGTCCAGCAATAGTTCATGTAGAGGAGAAAGATTTGGGGGGTTTTTAGTTGACTGCAAGCCAAGTTGAGTATCACAAAGCAGGCAACCCCGCCCCCCCCACACACGCTGAGTTGATCTCAATCTGCGTTGACTCCCCCATACAGCCAGTGGCTGATGAGTCATTAGGAATCAACAGCTGACAAGATGGACAGTAAGAAAAGCACGAGGAGGCGGTGCTAGCCTCAGCCTGGGTCAGAACTCATCGAGAGCTCTGGGGCCACACAGGGGAAAGGCTGGTGAGAAGCCGGGATCATGACACATGTGAATGTGTGGAAGGCATTGGGGATGGTCAGACTTGGAGGGAGGGGCCAAATGATGAGTGTTCTCAAGTATTTGCAAGGATATCACATGGAGGAAGGGTTAGCTTCATTCTGCTTGGCCTACAGGACAGGCCGCAATGGGTAAAAGTTTTTTTTTTTTTTAATTAAGACAATGGAGTTAAGTGACTTGCCCAGGGTCACATAGCTAAGAAGTGTCTAAGGCTGGATTTGAACTCAGGTCCTCCTGACTCCAGGAAGACTTCATGCTCCATCCACTGTGCCACCTAGCTACCCTAGCAATAGGTGAAAGTTGTTGTGGAGACACAAGTGGAAGGGGCTGCCTCAGGATGGAATGTGTTATCCCTCTCTGGGAGGATTCAGGAAGAGGCTTGGAAGATCCCCTCCCCCCACCATCCTTGAGGGGAGATTCCTGCATAGGGTTAGAGGTTTGACTGGAAACCTCTAAGGTCTCTCCTCTCCCCAAGATTCTGATGATTTAGAAAATAGTTAAGGCCTTGACTGTGTGGGCCTTCCCCTGAGGGCTGTAGAAGGGTCAATTCTTGCTGGAGTCATCAGGGCTTTGTAGAGAAGGCTGGACCTTAGAGGACAGGAAGGGTGGAAACATGTGCCAGGTGCTTTAGAAATATCATCTCATTTGTTCCTTGTCCCATCTAGACACTATTGTTGTCCTTATTTTACTGATGAGGAAACTGAGGCAAACAGGGTTAAGTGACTTGCCCAGGGTCACACAGCTAGGAAGTGTCTGAGACTGGATTTGAACTCAGGTCCTCCTGACTCCAGGTCCAGCTCTCTATCCACTGCTTCACAAGCTGCCTCTGGTAGTTATGGAAATACGGAGAAGGCAGAGAGAGAATTACAGTCTAGGAAAAGTTCGAGAGTCACTACACGTACTTCGCGGTATCGGGAAAGGCCTTGAATGAAGAAGGATGGATTAGCTAGGCTTTAGAAAGGGACCTCAGAGACCACCTAGGCCAACCCTCTCATTGTACACATGAGGAAACTGAGGCCCAGAGAGGTCAAGTGAGGACCTGAGGTCACATAGGCAGTAAGCATTGGAGATAGGATTTGAACCTGGGTCCTTTGACTGGTCAAAGTCAGAGCTCTTTTCCCTGACCCATGAAGGTGTATAGTAAGTCGTTCCATCAGAGGCAAAGAAGGCATTGATTCCAGGCATGGGGAAGCGCCTGTGCGAAGAAGGCAATGGAATTCCCCGTGTGGTCTGGCCAGGATGGAAAGCTTGTGAGGGGTGGTCAGTGAGTGGGGTCAGACTCTGGAGGGCTCATTGCCAGGCTAAGGATGTTTTCATTTTATTGCAGGAGTGAGGGGGAGCTGGTTGAGGTCCTTTCGCAAAAGCCTCCATGACCCTCCCTGGGCCTGAGGACTGTAGGAAGGCTGGATCATAGAGGCGAAAGCCTGCAGGCCCAGAGATCGGAGGCTAGAGGTCAGAGATGATGGAGGAAAGGCTGACTTGGGGCCACAGGAGAGGAGAGAACAGGACAGATGCCCACAGGCCCAGGGAGCTGGGCATCCATGTGTGCCTGCAAGCCTTGGCTTGGGAAGAGCTGGGGTTGTGGCTGTCCCTGGTCCTGGGGGCATGGGGAGGGACCATGGTTTCTCGGAGTGTCTGGGTGGCTCACTTGGAGAGCTACCTTTGGATTTCTGGCCTGGTCCCTTTCTTTGCTCTTCTGTCTCACTGGCCCTCCGTGTCACCGTCATAGGTCTTGTCTCTTTTGACTCCAGGCCTCAGTGGCTGCCGAGCAAAGGCTTGGCTGGGAGATGACTCAGAGCTGGCGTGTGGCTCTGAGAATTCCCCCAAAGCCCGATGGCTCCTTTCTGGCTCCCCAGCCCCCTCCCAAAGCCTGCAGTAACTCTATGGAGCTGTGCCTGGAGCCTGGGTGACTTGGGGCGACTGTGGATGTCTGCCTCTCATTGTGTGTGTCCGTAATGGTGTGTGTGTATGTGTTCCTCTGTGGCTCCACCTACCCTCCAGGGCCACACATGACTGTGTTGGCTATATCTGGGTGTATCTATTGTCTTTCTGTGCCAGGGGGTAATTTTGCATTTGGAACTATGTATGTCTTTGTGTGTCTGTGTATTGTGTAATTATGTATATCTCTGTGTGAGTCTGTGTAACTGTATTTGGGTGTGTATATGTGTGTCTGCACCACAGGCCCAGCTTCTCTCTTTCCCCTCCCCCACCCATGGCATCTGTTTCCCCATTCCTTCCTTCAGAATCATTTGTTGGTATCAATATTTGGACGTTTTTTTGGGCTTGATTATTCAAAGGCCTGAGAATCCTGAGTACTCAATGATGGGCTCGAGAGGAGAGGAACTGGGGTAGGAATGAGGACAATGGTGGTGGAGGCTGGTTCCTCCCTGCCTCCCAATGCAGTCCTTGTCTCTGAAGACAGTAGCAGTGAAGTCCCAGTGGCAGCCCCAAGGGCTTCTCTTGTGGGGAACAGTGGGGTGCTCTTGCAACAGCAAGGAGTTTTTTTTTTTTTTCAGGCAATTGGGGTTAAGTGACTTGCCCAGGGTCACACAGCTAGCAAGGAGTTTTCTAAGATGGTGGGAGGAGTCTTGCTAAGGAGAGGTCTTTGTGCCAAGAAGGGCTAAGGGGGTCTTAGGGCTGAGTGGTGTCTCTGCTGGGAATGTCTCTGTTGGAAGCAAGCTATGTTTTAAGAGGACTTTTCTGTTGGATAGTAAATCAATGAGCATTTATTGATCACTTACTTTGTGTCAGGCACCATGCTAAGTGGTGAGGATACAAAGAAAGGCAAAAACATGGTACTTGTTGCCTAGGAGGTCCCTATCTAAAGGGGGAAGACTGTACATAGATCTATCAAGGGGATAGAAGGTCATCTGAAAGGTGAAGGCGCTAGCAGGTGGGGTTACCAGAAACGGGGCCTCCTCAGTTCTGGTCTAGAGGGTCTGTGTGATGAGAAGTCTCTGGTGTGAGTAGGTCTCTGCCGTGTGAGGTCTCTGTGTTTAGGGGTCTTTGTACTGAAGGGAGTGTCTCTTCACTATGGAAGTCTGTGTGCTGGGGAAGGTGTCTGTGTGGGCAGGGGGTGCTTCTGTACTGAGGGGTAGGGTCTCAGTTGTTTGGGGAGACAAGAAGGGATTCCTGGTGTCTGAAAGACTGTCCTGCCTTCTGGGAGCTGAGGAGCTCTGGGGTGAAGCAGCCCCTTCCCTGCTGAGGCCCTTGTTCCCAGACCCCATATTGGATTGTGGGGAGCCCCTGCCAGGCCATCTCTGGGGGGTGGGCAGCCCCTCCCTTTCCAGCATCCCTTGCTGTGGCCTTTGTCATCAGGCCCCATATTGGATTGCGGGGAGCCCCTGCCAGGTAGCTCCTCGTACCGTACCTCTGTCCCTCATTGTGGCTCTTGTCTCCACTGCCATCCTCAGGCACCACATTCACTACGTGATCCCCTACGACGGAGACCAGTCCGTGGTTGACTCCTCAGAGAACTACTTTGTGACAGACAACGTGACCAAGCAGGAGATTGACCTGATGCTGGGGCTGCTGCTGGGATTCTGTATCAGCTGGTTCCTGGTGTGGATGGATGGGGTCCTGCACTGTGCCGTGCGGGCCTGGAGGGCCAGTCGCCGCTTCGGTGAGCACTGGGCTGGACTGGGGGGCCGTAGCTCTCTGGGGAGGAGCTGCCGAGGCCGGTGGAAGGGACCGGGGGCCAGGGACCTCGAGGGACTCATTTGGGGCAATGCAACAAGCCCTTATATTAAACAGCTCCTGTGTTTGAGGCACTGAAAATAAAATACAAAATAGAAACAAGCTGGCACAGAAAGAACCAGAGAAGGGCCTGGATTCAAATCTCAGCCCCGTTATTTGCTGCCTGTTTGACCACTCTGGCCCTCAGTATGTTCATCTGCAAAATGGGGAGGTTGGACCGGATGACCTCCAAGGTCCCTCCCAGCTTTGGATCTGTTATACTCAAGAAACTTAGCTTCTACTGGAGGACGCAGAATTCAGAAAGAGAAGTACAAGATAGTCTGAGGAGGGAGAGACCATTTACACATGGGTGGGAGGGTGAATAAAAAAGACTGCCTGGAGGAGGTGGCTTGAGCTGAAGCTTGAAGGAAATGAAGTACCATAAGAGGCGGAGGTGAGGGAGGGAATGTATTCCAGGTATTGGATGGGGATGAGGGAGGGTGGGCACAACCTGTGTAATGACATGGAGGTAGGAAATGGCCAGCAGGCCAGTTTGGCTAGAATGGAAAATTTAACAGGGACCAATGTGAAATGTTTGGAAAGTTAGGTTTCAACCATCCCAGGAGACTGAGGGACCAGAGGGCTAGAAATACAAGGTGACAGATTCAGGAGACTTGGGGATTGAAGAGCTGAGACATAGCAGACAAGGAGGCTCAGGCAGGCGTGGGGACAGAGATGGGCTTCATCTTGGCTTCAAGGAATCCAAGGATTCCCAGAGCTGTCTCTGGTGCTAAGATGTTTGCCCCTCCCACGTGCCCTCAGTCTCCTTTTTAACCCTCAGTGGGAGAGACTGTTCCCAGGATTGACTTCAGAATGTGACCTAGCCATTCTCATCTAATAGCACTCCCGGGGGATCGGATAGTCAGTCAACTAACATTTATGAAACACCTACTGTGTGTTAGGCCTTGTGCTAAGTACTGGGGATATGAAGAAGGTGGGGGGAGGGGACCCGTGACACCCACAATCCTTGCTCTCCAAAAGCTCATTGTCTAATGGTGTATCCTGTGGCCTGGTCAACTGCCTGGTGGGCTCTTCACTAGAAATGCGGACAGAGTGGCACACACACAGTAGAATTTGGACGTTGGCTCCAGGGCCTGAGGCAAAAGGGGCCATCTTATTTTGTCCAAATTGCTACTTCTGAATCCAATCTGTTGTCAATCTGTTCACTAAGTATTTACTAAACCATACAAAAAAAAACATGAAACGACCCCTCCCCTCAAGGAACTTAGGTTCTATTCATAATTACATTACATTCCATGGCTTGTTACATTGCATTCTATGATTCGTTACATTACATTCTATGGCTTGTTACATTGCATTCTGTGGATTGTTACATTCTTTTGACTCTCTTCCTCCTTTTCTCCCTCCCTCTCCTTGCCCTCCTGCAGACAATTCATGGTCCTGGCTCCCCAAATTCTGTAGTCTGAAGGACTTCCGGAAACGACCCCACCGGCCATATGAGGAGCCCACAGGAAACATGGTGCACATCAAACAGAAGCTTTACCACAATGGCCACCCTAGCCCCCGGCACCTCTGAGCCCCTGCCTTGGCTTGGCTAAGCCCATGGAGGGACTTGGGACACATGGACAGACCATTGGACCGCAGGGTGGTCTGTGTCTGTGGCTATATTCCCTGGGGGCCTGGGGCCAAGCCCTATGGACCTACAGCTGGCAGGGCCCATCCTGTGTGGACCAGGAGCCAGCCTGGCCCTGGCCTGCTTGGGCCCTAGCACTGGACCTCTGTACATATGTAAGAAGGATCTTTGCTTATAAACCCTTCCCCCACCCCCAGGGGGCTATACAGCCCAACCCCTCAGACCCTGGACAGCGCCTCTCTAGGGCCCCAGCCCTCTCCTGGCCCCTGGGCCCAGGGTGTCTGCTGCCTGGGCAGCCTGGGTGGTCATCCTGCACTTGGGTGGGGCTCCCAGAAGAAGGTGCTGTGTCTTTTCTCTTTCTTTTTAGGGGCATAGGGTTTGGGGTGGGAGGGGATGGGATGGAGTCCCCCTAGGGCCTGTCCTGAGCTGGGGTCATCTGACTGTAGGTCAAGGAAAGGCCAGGGAAGAAAATTGGGGAGGGGTATGGCTCATCAGAGAGATAGGGTAGGACACGGAGTGGGGGGTCCCTCTCTTGTATCTGGGACTCTCAGGCTGTTTTGCTATGTTGTGCCTCAGTTTCCCACGCTAGAAGTAGGATAGGAGTGCCACACTTGAAAATCCTTGAAGAAACACTGGAGGGATGGAGAGGGGAGGGGTGACAAGGTTGCATCATCAAGCAGGGTGACCCCCGTCCTTTAAGTGCTTAGAGCTCTTGGCAGGAAGGTGCTACAGCCAGACAGGGTGGGGTGGCAGTTGGGTGACTTCAGATCCCTGGCAGGGGAGGGGTGTGTGTGTATGTGTGTGTGTGTGTGTGTGTGTCTAGAACGAGTGTGGGTGATTCATGGCGTTTAGGTCTTAAAAAACTGACGCCGGGGTGCTGGGGAGGTGGAGAGGGGAGGGAAGAGGGGCTGAGACAGCTCAGTCCCAGCTGTGATTTTAGGAGTGAGTACCTGGTTGTTTCTGTTTCTGGTCCATCCCCATCCTCATCCCCTGACCCTACCTCCTGACTCTGGGCTCTGTCCAGCACTTCTTAGCCCCTTGGGGCCCTGAGGGTCGCCCACTAAGTGGGGCCAGCCCTTGGCCCATTCCATCCCCTGGTTTAATTCTGTTTCTGGTTAGCTCCTCTGTCTGGGATCACATCTGTTATTATTTTGTTGTTGTAGTTTTTTTTTAATGGCTGGTGTCTGTGTGTTTCCTGTCCACATTTGTGTTCATTTGTCAGGCTGTCTGGGGAGCTGACTCCCAGGGCAAGGTGTCAGGGGCCTCAGAGAGCAAGAGGACCTTGGTCTGTAGGAAGTCAGGTAGGAGGAGGGCGGCAGGGGATGGAGTGTCCCAAGGAGGCAGAGGTGTGGGAGGTGGTGCCAAGGTGTGGGCTCCATTTCCCTGTCCTGCAAGCCCCAGGGCCCACGCTTGGACAAGAGGATCAGTCAGTACAATACCAAGGACAGGTGCATGGTAAGTGAGGGTCATAGCCCTGATGCAAAGGAGATAGTGATGGGGGCAGGGAGAGGAGGGCTCCCAGGGACCATTCCGGGAGGAAACCAGAGATGGTGGGGTGAATGCCCATTGCCAATCTGTGTATGTGTGAACACGTGATCACATGTATGAAGCATGTGCCATGACCTCATGGGGTCTGCATGGAGTATGCACAGGTAAGGCAGAGGCTGGAGAACTGGCCTTCTCCCCTTTGTCATCAGCAAGATAGGGTTCTTCTGGGTGCCTGAACAGCTTGACTCTGGTCCCACGGAAGGGGGAGAGTCCCTGTCTACACAGACAATCCCCTCCTCTCAAGGCTTTTTAGTGTAGGCCCAGACCAGAGCTGCCTCAGGCCCCCGTGGCCTTTCACTGTGATCACCTCCACCAGCCTGCCCACCATGACTTCATCCCTCCCTCTCCCTGGGCCTGGTTGCCTCAGTCAGTAAAAATGTTTGAGGCATGTCGAGTCTGCCTCTTCTTTTGCTTCCTGCAGACCCAGGACTGGGGTTGGGGGGAACCAGCTCTGCTCTGGTTGGCTTGCTCTTATCTGGCAGGATTTAGTGATTTTAGCGTTGTGATGTTGGCCTGGTGTGTTGGAAAAGGTCTTGTCTGGATAGACCGCTGGGCCAGATCTGAGAAGATGAAATCAAATAGGGATAAATGTAAAGCCTTACCCTTGGGTTCAAAAAATCACTTCCCAAGGCCAGGAAAGGTAGGGAGTGGAGGAAGAGACAGGGCTAGGCAGCAGTTTGACTGAAAGCAGCTGGGGGTGGGGGGATGGGTTCACTGGACCGTGAACTCAGCGTGTCCACAGGATGATGTGACAAATCCCCAAATAATTACAACAAGCTGCAGTGAGGGAGGCAGTTTCCAGCACTAACTGCTAGGTTTGCAAAGTGCTTCCTAAGATCTCATTTGATCCTCACATCAACTCTCGGAAACAGGCGCTATTATCCCCACTTTACAGATGGGGAAACTGAGGCAGACAGTTCAGTGACTTGACCAGGGCTGCCCAGTTGGCCAATGTCCAAGGCTGGATTTGAATTCGGGTCTCCTTGACTCCAGGGCCTGCACTGCTCAGCTGAAGGTGATAGTCCAGAACCTGCCTTCTGTCCTGGTCAGCTCCCATCTAGAGCACTGGGTTTAGCTTCTGCATGCGCCACCTTTTAGGCAAGACTCGGTAAGCTAGAAGGTATCCAGGGGAAGGCTACCTGGCTAGGGAAGAGCCTTGATGTCACGTACATGTGAAGATCACATAGAAGGACTGGGGCATTTATTTCCCTCAGAGAAGCCTCAGAAGAAGTGATGGCTGTGAGTTCGACCGGTTCTGCTTGGCCCCAGGGTGCAGAACTAGAGTGGTTGGGAGTCTGCAGAGGCAGCTTGAGTGGAAGGGTAACCGAGCTGCCCAAAAGGCTGCAAGCGGAGGCTGCGTGTGGTTGAGCATGCTGTGAGGATCCTGCTGAAGTACAGGCTGGACGAGCTGGGGGCCTTGCTCGGACGCCCTGCTGGGCCCTGGGATCCTGTTTTTTGGCACACCTAGAGAACAAAGTGAAGTTCCCATGCGGACGCCCGGGGTCCGTCCAGAGGAGCGCTTCACAGGTTAGCCGTGTTATACTTGAGGAAGACCAAGCCCTGTTTGCGATGCTTCCTTCCTCCACGGAGGAAGGTTGGGCTGGCTCAGCATGGCGGCCTTGTGACATGGGCGGAAAGGACACAAGACCAGAGTTCAAATATCATCTCTGGCCTCCAGCCCCTTCTAGTCCAACGCACTGGGCCACGAGGCCAAAGGGGACAAGGCAGGTCTGCTGCCTCCTGCTCCCCCGGCAAACCGAGGGCTCCTCTCGTCTTCACTCGGTTTGGGCCCGGCAGGAGGTGAGCAATGGGTGGGTACTGCTATCTTTTCCCACTACTTGACTTGGTCTATTAACCACACCAGGACACAAGGTGGGTTTCTAGGCATAATAGGTTCACTTTACACCCATAACCTCGGTCCCTCCTGATCTGTCCTCTGGTAGGCCACCTGGTTTACAGCATGTTGTCCTGCCCCCCAAGCCCCACCTCTGACTCTGAGCTTTTCAGAGCCCAACCTGGTGGCCCATCTGGGCTTGATCATGCACATTCCGAACTTACAAAATGAAGATCACAGCAATCATAAAAGTACCTTGAAGGTCATTTATCTAGTCCAGCTCTCCAGCCCTGGCCCAGAGGGATTGTTGGGTCATACATCTACCTTCTGCTCATTTCCTCCCCAACAGAAGACCACCCTCACAAGTGCTTCCCCTCCCCAGGACAGAACAGGCAGGGTCCAACTTGGCTCCTTGACTGTGGGCACTAAGGACAGGGGGACCACAATCAGAAGTCCTTCCACCTTCAAGCCTTGGGGTCACTTGTCTCTCAAGTCCTTTGAGATCCACTTTGGACTTTGGCATATTTAGCTGGGAGGGGAGGGGAAAGGAGGGGAGTGGTTTTTAGCCTTAAGTTGGGCCTGTCCATACTAAGGGGAAATGAGCCATTAGCCCCAGTGGAGAAGATGCAGGGCTAGAGAGGTGGCCCAAGAGGTGAGGGCAGTAGGCACGGAAAGGGAGCCGGGCAGTGGGGTGCCAGGCTCTCAGTTCCGGTCAGGGATTCCAGGTTTCTACCTTTCTGAGGAGATAAGAGCTCTGGCATAACAGAGCAGGCAGGGAGGAAAGCAGCCTGAGGGACTATGGGGGCACTTCTGGTACCCCCCACCCCCAGATTGGTTCTGGCTAGAAGGGCCTCCTCTCTCTGAAGAGATTCTGAAGGCAAGTGCCTGCCCCTGAAGGCCCAAAGGGGCATTGATGGGATCAGGATTCCCCTGGGCACCTCAACAGTTTAGGATAACGGAAAGAAAACCAGACTGGGAGGGAGAAGAGCTGGGTTCTATTCGCTGTGCTAACGACTCTCCCATCAAAGGAGAGGGCTGAGCACCTGCATGGTCCTTCCTTCCTCCCCAGCTGGGCACATCTGTGAGCGGGCCTCCAGCCTGCCCTGAGTCAGAGGGGCAGCCTGGACCACGGACGACAACATGACTGTTAGATTTGGTGAAGGAAACAGCCCGAGTGGAGGGTCTCAGAATCGAGGTCTTTTCCTTGGCGCTTGCTGGAGGCCAGTGGGCTCAGTTGGCACGTGGTGCCAGCTCCAGCACAGGGCTCTTGGGCTGGTAAGATGCAGCTCTGGCACTTGACAGAAAGACCCCAGCACACAAATGAGCACAGGTCAGTGCGTGGTAGATCCTTTAATGTGGCTCCTGCCATCACACGCCTTGATGGGTTCTCTAAGAATATTTAAAAAAGCCTTGAAGGGAAGGGAGGATGATGACCGCAGGCTTGGCCCTGCAGGCCCCGGCTCCAACTCTGACATGATTTGCCCTTCCCCATGTCCTCGGGGAGGGGGGCCTCCCGCCCTTACACTGGGCTCTCCTTGAAGACAGGGAGAGACTGGCTCTTGCTGCCCTCCACGCCCTCCGTTTTCAGCCACTCCATCTTCTGCTGGTGCTGCTGGATGGCGTCCTTTACGCGGGCGTCGATCATCGCCTCTGTGAGGACACCGTCTTCTGAGGCGTAGGCTAAGGCCTGGAGGAGAGAGAGGATGAGGGACGGGATGAGAGGTGACCAGGCCGCCAACTGTGCCGCGCCCCTGGCCATCACCAGACACCTTGGAGGCCTGTGCAGGCCTCACGCTGGGGCCACCCCATCCACCCACTCAAACCCCTTTTACAGGCTTCTACAGACCTCAAGGGGTCCCCAGCCAAAAGCCCCTGCTTGCTCATAGGCTGGAGCTGGGAACCGCACCCTGCATGACATCGTAAAGGCCTTGGCAGGGGTCGGGTGTCCACTGGAGAATCAGGCAGCCGCCCTAAGCCCTAGCTAGGTGGAAGGTGGGCTGGCCATGGCTAGACTTCAGTTTCTCTGGTTCCATTGTTCAAAGCCTCTGCTCTCCCCAATGTCTTTATGCTCATGAAAATCTGACGGAGTGCATTTCTGCACGAGGAAGACAAAGAACCTGATCGCCAGCAGTGGTTTCAGAACCTGCCAAGAGGACAGCAACGTATCTGTGGAGACTTCGCACGAAGCACACACTGAGTGAGCAGGTCAGAGCCTGGAGGTGGCCACCAGGCAGATAGGAGTCAGAGCCTACTTGGACATGACCGGACTTTCACACCAGTGAATGCAAAGCAGGCTTCAGAAGGGGCCTGTTCAGCTCAGGGGAACAACAGGACTTTTGGTTCCTTTTGGGTGAGCGAGGGGAGGTAATCTGAGGTGATACCAGCCGGCAGCTCTCAGGGCCTGGGTGTGCACTGACCTCCAGCACTGACCAATGCTTCACTGGACCCAAGGCCAGCCCAGCTACCAAGCGGACATCCCAGCCGCACAGTGGGGTGAACATCTGTTCTCTCAATCGACACCCAGCTCCAGGGCCACCAGCTTGTCCTCTAAATGCAGAGGAATGAGGAGAAGCCCTGCACATTGGCATCCTCGAGTCTGTGCTGGCTAATGACTCTATCAGCCCCACAGGGGATACTGCATCTCATGAATCTTCAGAGGCCCCCCGCCCCCAGCCAGTCTCACCCCTCAGCTGGCACGGAAGAGGCTTCCTATCTGGGCTCCGAATTCCACCAGCCAACGAGGTTCAAAGCAGGTGGTCTCCCTTTAGGGGCCCCAGGCAGCCTCATTCCAAAGCGCGGCAAGGCCAGCGGCTTCCCTAGGGCTTGGCCCCACCTGCCTGGAGCACACTCGCAGATTCAGAGAGACAGCCAGGCTTGTCTCCTGACCCGGCCTGCAATGCCCATAAATTCAATTGTGGAAGTCCCAGCAATTCTGTGCAGTTCACGCGCTGCTGATTTTCTCAATGACCTTCTAAAAATAGAAAGCTCAGGGCCTGAGCTGTCAAGAAAGCAAATGGGGAACGTGCCCGGGCTCCGCCGGGGGCAGCTCGCGCCATTCAGGAGGCAGAATCCTGTCCTTCCATGCAGATATTTCTAACCAATCTCTTTCACCTGCCTTATAACGGAAGGTGCTGTCAAATGTAGGAATTCACAACTGGCCTCTGGGCAATTCTGAAGCAAATTAATTTTCACTGCCAGGAGGGCAGGCCAGCAGCTGGTGGGGGTGGGATGGAGGGAGTGAAGGGGTAGAAGGAACCCCTCCCTCTAAAGAATCTTCCCAGACACTCCTCAACTGTGCAAAGAGGAGCTGACCAGACCCACAAGCAGTTGACAGGGCTGGAGGAAGCGGCCTCCAAGGAATAACCGATCTGCTTCTGACTCCGGTGCCCGTGAAGGGGGCTGCCCCCATCCCCCCGGCCACACCCTGCAGAGCACAGCCCTCTCATGGAGCTGCCCGTCCATTTCCATCCACATCACTTTCTAAATAAGGAGTCTTTTTTAAACCAGTTTAAGAAAACCAACTTTGTGACCCTAACTTTGTCCTAGGTGTCAGGAGACAAATGGAAAGTGAGAATCCTTAAGACAGCCTGGATTCTGACTGAGGTTCCAATTCTGGCTCTTTAACCGCTCACTATCTGGTGTGACCCAGGGTGAGTCCCTCCCCCTTTTCTGGCCTCAGTTTCTTCATCTGAAAAAGCAAAAAGTCTGAGGTTCCATCAAAGTTTCCACGTTGGGGATGAGACAGGAACAAAGGTATCCTAGGCTGGACAGGGAAGTGTCCTGCCCCCGCCTGCAACAAGGTCACTGCTGCGGCCAACCTCGCCAAGAAGCCCACGAGCAAAGGTTCAAGAACACACTGTCACCTCTATACTACAATGAAGCAAAGGAAGAATAAATGAAAAATAAAACACGAAAGCCCCAAACACTCAAGGCTTCTCACGGCGGTCACAGGAGAAGCCTTTTGTGATTTGTCGATTAAAATTAACCACCGTTAACATATTTTTCTGGTTGGCAGAAGGACTACGGCCCCATATTTGAGCCCTGCAGCTGACACTGGCTCAGGGGGGATGGGGGGCACCACCACAGAAGGGGCTACTGTTCAGGCCTTTTCTAGGACTCAGAATATCAAAGTGGGCGGGCTTTGGCATCCAAAGGATCTGAGTTCAAATCCCGCCCCACATACTTAATGGCTAAACAACTGTGGACAAATCATTTACCCTCTTGGCTGTTTCTTCACTGGTAAAATGGAGGTAATAATAATGCTTATTTCACAGGGTTATTATGGAGATCAAACAAGATGATGTATAGAATGCGCTTTGCAAACCTCAAGGCGTTAGACCGACCAACATTTAGACACGTTGGCTACTACTGTCGTTATCAGGAGTTATTGGTACGGCAGCCTTGTGTGTGAGTACTCTGATGCTCATAGCCACCTTGGGAAGCAGGAAGTCCCACCCTCAACTCACAGGTGAGAAAAAGACTTACCCAAGGTCATAGGGTTCGCAGCTAGGGGACCAAGGTTTGTCTTTGGCCCCACAGAGCTCTCACACACCAACACCTCAAAAGGCTCAGCCTGGCCACACAGCCCCTGACCCCAGAGTGCCAGGGGTATGCCTTCCCACAGGCTGGAGCTAGCCTTAGGCAGTGGCCAGGAGCTCCAGGGGCTGCAGAAGCCTCACTGAAGCTCTGTCCTGTGCAGCCGGACCAGCGCAGCCCTGGGGGTGCTCTCCAGCTTGGGCAGACTGGCCCAGAAGGGGGAATGAGGCACCCTCTGCCCCCCCCCCCCGGCACCATCCTCCCTTAGAGGTCACTGTTTACTAGGGACACATGTTGCTGCTCCCAAGAGACAGCAAGGTGAAAAGCAAAGTCTAACACAGCAACTTGACGCAATTTATATGGAGAGAAAAAAAAAAATGAAATCTCTTTTGATGAGTAACAAATGGTGAGGCAGATGCCATACTTGATCTAGGGGTAGCCTGATACTCAAAGATGGGAGCAGCCTGTGGAAATGAGAAGGCCAGACGGCCAAAGCAGCGGCCACAGGGTCACCCACAGCCTTCCTCCCCTGCACCCCAGGGAACAACAGAAAATGTCAAACCTACAAAGACTTCTAACAGCAAAAACCCAGCTTGGGATGTGGGCCACCCCTCCCCTGCCCCCCTGCCCCCCTGCCCCGGGCACCTCTAGGCCACAGGCTCTCTTCACTACGCGCCCAGAGTGGGAAGGGGCCTAATTCTGACCCCCCAACCATCTTCGGAAGCACTCTACCCCACTTTTGTCTGGACAGCTTTAACGGTTAGGAAGGTTCTGTTCTCATCACACCCAAATTTGTGTCTACATTATCTGCTTCCTCCTCCTCAGCTCTGCCCTCGGAAGCCAAGCTGAACCGGCTGATTCTTGCTTCCGCACCCTCTGAGAAAGGCCTCCTGTTCCTGTCCAAGCTTCCCCAAGTCTTTTCTGGGCTAAAGAACCTTGGTTCTTTTAACAGCTCTCAGACGGCCTGACTTCAAGGCCCATCCCCAACTTTTGGTATCCTCTAGGTATTCTCCAGACCTTTCTAAAATGACGGTACCCCAAACAGAGCAAAGGTCTTTAGCTATGGCCTGACCAGGCAGCAAAACAAACTGTCCCCACCCCAGTCCTGGGCCACTTAAAAGGCTTACAGCAGCCTTGGCTTTCCAGGCGGTCAAATCACTAGGTGGAGTCATATGGAGCTTGCAGTCCACTAAAACCCCCAGAACTTTTTTAGATGAATGCCATTTGGCTACGCTCCCCCCACCTTGAGCTTGGGAAGTAGCTTGTTTTGAATAAATGTAAGATACTGTTTGTATTCCTACTAAATTTCATCTCACTGGGACTGCATTTTCATGTTCTAGCCTGTGTGGAGCTTTCTGAGCCCTATCACCCACTGGGCTAATTCTGTGTAACCACCCCCTACGCCTTCTCTGAGCTACAGAATGCACCCTGCCAGATTTCCTTTCCAGGTGACTACTCGCTGAGTCAGCACACTCAACCAGTTCTGGATAGACCTAACGCTCTCCATTTTCATCACCGGTTCTGCCTGGTTTTGACTCCAAAGGACATCATGCCCCTGCGCTCTGTACTCCCTGGTCGAGCCCCCCCACCCCTTTTAATGTGCTTTCTTGCCCTATTAGATTGTAAGCTTCTTGAGGACAGGGACTGTCTTCCATTTTCTTATTTATATCCCCAGCACACAGTGCCTGGCACACAGTAGGCACTTAATATTTCCTGAATCAACCTGCACCACTATCTAGCCCACCTCTCTCCATATTTGCTGTAAGAGCTCCGAATGCTTCGCTCAACTCTGGGTAAATGATACCCACAGCCCTCACTGGTCTACCAGGCTGAGGAAACCAGGCCAGGCTTGGATGTCGGGCTTTTGATTATGCCACCCATGACGGCTCTCTGTAATCATGGCTCTATTTTCCACATGTCTGCAAACTTTGGCCAGCAAATGAAGTCAAACGCCCAAATCTACCTGTCCTTCCTTTTTGAAACTTGGCACGTTTACCCTTCTCCAATTGTGTCTGACTTCCCGCAAGGTTGCCGCTATTCAGAGAGCTGTGACAATGACAGAGCACCCCCTCTGCCAGGTCTCTTGGAACCGTGGAGTGCAGCCCATCTGGGCACCAAGGGCCGCTCTCTTACTATCTCCCTATTTCTCTT